CTCCGTACCAAGGTCGTAACTGGAAAACAATTTCGAGGGGGTCACATTTTTTTAAATATAGATACTATACACTTTTCATTTTTACAATTATTCTTTAATATAATTTATAATTAATTAATTATATTCGCTGTTAAAATGTTCTACTTTGAAAAATTTCGTGGGGGGGCGGACCACTGCGGCACTGTTCCCCCCCAGTTACGGTCTTGCTCCATACTCACACAAAGTATATAATAATTAATGTTACCTGGTCATATTCAAATAGGTAGGTACTATTGTAGTATTGTTAGGTCTTAGGTATTACGCGATCGTCACTTGTCAGTTGTCGCAACATCTTTATATAATATCATCGTCAGTGTATATAAATATTTAGTCTGGCGAGTGGCGAGATTAAATTTCATAATAATTAATAGTCGTGGTATACAGAACWRACGCGACACCATAATAATTGCATACCTATTATGCTTAAAYAGTAAGCATACGTCGCAACTAGTTAATTAGTAGTAAATCGATCAAGACGTGTTTAAGTGAAGGAACAATTTAATTATATCGATCGTAATGTCGGTCTATGAAAACGTAAACTACGATGGCTTACTAGAGAAAATGGACCGAAAATCGGTTGTGATCGATGTCCGTGAATGTCAYGAGCTTGCTGCAACTGGATCGTTACCAAACAGTATAAACATTCCACGTAATATCGTACACAAATTATTATATTATATATATAATAGGTATATKATAATAATAATATTATAAAAATGTCAATTTGGGTGTATTGTATATTAYCTAACTAATACATTTTTAGTGATGAACTTAACGTTATGATGTAAGATTTAAGTTGTCATCTATGATCTATATTATTGTAAAAATTAAAGTTTATTTTATTTTATGTAAAATTATTTCATTGAAATYATTTGCATTTTAGGCGTTGACGCGTTGTAACATAAATTAAAATTAACATTCTTTTCAGTACCTGTAAACTAAAATGTAGTCATATRCCATTAGACACATAGAAAGGTAGAYAAAAATTACAATTCATATTGTTATACTCAAACTCAATACGCCTCATGACAAGAAAAATGTTTTATATTAAAATTTAACATTATACAAATAATTTACTGACTATCAWTGTAATTCATTACATATTATTTGTAGTAGGTTTATGATTAGGTTTTGATTAGTATAATACATTTTGGGACTAGTGATACTTAATGGCCTATATGGCTATTTTTTTTTTTTAACTAGTAATAATATTACATTAACAGTATGTTTTCATTTGTGGCCTGTGGGATGCGGGGTTTGAACAACAATCTATATTGATTATTATTTCAGTCAGCGAGTTGGAAAACAATTTAAATCTGCCTGCTGACATATTCGAGGAAAAGTATAAAGTACCCAAACCCGATAAAAACAATGACGAAATTGTATTCTCCTGTGCCCGAGGAAATAGAAGTCGTCGTGCAGCTGAAATCGCTTTCAAACTAGATTATAAAAAGTAAATACYTCTTCTGAACTATGRTTAACAATTACATGAAATGCATCACATGAGTATAACTGTATAAGGTTTTCAAAAGTTAAAAAATACAATATTGTAATTGTGTATAATTTTTACTTTTAATGGATAAAATCCTATTTAGACTATAATAAATCTAATAGGTCTAATAGGACAATTTGTCTCCAATATATGGTAAACATGTATTGAATATGTTATTATTAATTATAATATGTATTGTAATTAAAACATTTTTTTTTAATGTCCAATTTTATTATAGCATTAAATAAAGCACATTATATTTTTAAATATAATTATACACAAATATTTAAATTTAAATTGATCATTGTCTAATTAAAAGTTTGAAACAATAAAAAATACCTACTATTATAAGTATAACACTCACACTCCCGGCTACACTACTGT